GGCTGGGGAATTCTGGGAGTTGAAGTCCACCCATCTTAAACTTGCCAAGGTTGAGAAACATGGCCGTACAGGATTGCAAGACACAGCTCAAGGAATGTTCCATGCTGGCACAGTTTATATTCAGTCAGATGAATTCCAGAACAGGCTAGGCAGAATTGTGGTGTCTGGTAAAGTGGACAGATGTAGCTGCTTAAACTCAATTGTGAAGTATGGATATATAAGAAATAAGATGCAGATATTTGAAACAGCTTGTGATAAATGAAATAAATGATTTAGGAAAGTAGTTGCTTTTCAATAATGCAGTTATGGTTGCATTAACTAACACATCTAGAAGGCAGAACAGATCCCCTTCTGAAAACAAAATGGCACCTTTCAGGTTCATTGGTTATAGAGCAGAACAGGCACCCTAATGTGAATTTAGCTTCCACATAACACTGTTCCTGTGAATAGAAAGCTCACTGGAGCAAATTTCAATTGTATGTCCAAATACAATGGCTGGAATGCCTCTGAACTGACAGCCTGTAAATCCACTTTTTTGAAAATGCATCCATTCTTTTCTACCAGTTATTTACTGAAGGAGAAACAATAGATACATAACACGTCCTTGAAAAGAGAATAAGATATGACTAAGGGTATGAACTGCCCTTTCTTCAATGAATTGTGTTTTGGCTTCTTTGGATCCAGCACGATGGAACAATTGCTACAGTATAGTGAGTCAGTCACTGGGCGTCCTTTGCCACAGGTGTTGTACAGAGTTGTGAGATGCAGTTAGCAGAATGGTTTTGTCTACTAGATAAAGCAGTAGAGTCGTAAGATGCTATACTTGTTTTTTAGAAGATAGTGCAGCAAAAGTGATGTGGACCTAGGAAGCTTGTAGAGCGGGTGGGGCAAGCATCTTTGGTCAGGATCTTAGCAGAAGTCCTAATAGCATCTGCTACTAGATAAAGCCGCAACAAGTAATAGATTCTAGATGACCCTGTCTGGGCTTTGGGGATAGGAGAATTAGGCCTGGTTATGTTGGATGGGAGAGTACCAAGCAATATCAGGACAGTAGGCTAGACTGGAAGGTCAAAGAATTTTCTGGAAAAAGATAGTAGCAAACCACTTCCATGCCCTCTCCCCTCCCCCCCACC